AGATTCAGTTTCTGGCCATCAGGAGGCACAAATTAAAAAGGTGGTAGGCAGTGTTGTGAGAAAACAGTCATAGTGTGGATGAAAAAACAGTTTCACAGGAGCTATTAAAAACCTAAACGTGTCCCTACCCAGTTTGGCTCAGTGGATAGGACGTCCGCCCCAAGGACTGAAGTGTCCCAGGATTGATTCCGGTGAAGGGCACATGCCCAGGTTGTGGGCTTGATCCCTATTAGGGGGCGTGCAAGAGGCAGCCAATCAATGATTTTCTCTCATCATTGATGTTTCTATCTCTCACTCCCTCTCCCTTTCTCTCTGAAATCAATAAAAATACGTTTTTTTTTTTAAAAAAGAACCTACCTGTTAAGTAACTTTACACTTCAAAAGCTGGGAAAATCCAATTCAAAGTGGATAAAACAGTAACAGTGTTTAGATCACATCATTGGAAGTCCAGAAGTGGTAGAGGATCAGGGTTGCTGATCTAATAGTTACATGATGTCAGCAGGGATCAGCGTTGTTCTAACTCTCTAAACCGACATTCATCATTTAAGACCAAGTCCTCCACGTCTGTGAGACGTCACCTGTGGTGGTCAGAACTGCTCGCTCATTTACTTCATGCAAGAAAGAGATGTCTCTTCCACATAAAGCCTTCCATGCCTGCCTGAGCCAACTTGGGTGGCACGCTGTGTCAGTCAAGCTCTAGCAAGAAACATGACCTGCAAACTTGGCAATTCGAGGTAAGTGTAATACAGGAGTCATTTACAAAGACGTGGGCTAAGTGTAAGGAAGCCCCAAGGCAGAGTGCAGAACCCAGGGCTAGTGACAGTAGGATACTCCCCTTAGCACCAGGAGGCCTGAGGGGACACGAGGAGGGTGGTTACCAGATCAGAGAGAGCTCTGTGGAGAGGACCACTAGATAGGAGACAGGGTCTTCATCAGGAAAAGTAGTCATCCTGGGGTGACCCCACAGGAAAATCACCAGGGATCAAAACCCCAACTTACTCCCCACCTCCCTCCAGGGTCCTTCCTGTGGATCTCGAAGGGTTATTGGAAGACACCAAGCAAAGTCTAAGCCAGTAGTTCTCAACCTTCCTAATGCAGCTCCTCATGTTGTGGTGACCCCCAACCATAAAATTATTTTCGTTGCTGCTTCATAACTGTAATTTTGCTACTGTTATGAATCGTCATGTAAATATCTGATATGCAGGATGTATTTTCAGGGGTCGCAACTCTAAGCCTTTCCTCCTCAGGTTCTCCCTCCATGGGTCAGAGATGTCCCCTACTCCAAGCGAGGGCATCAGCTTTAAGGTACTTGGGAGAAAATATTTGTAATACATCTAGCACGCTGACAATTCCTAGCCAAAGTTTTAAAGTTGTTTCAACTCATCAATAAGGAAAATGCAAGTAATTCTATAGAAAAATGAGGAATAGATGTAAAAAGCATTCCACAGAGAAGAAAAATATAAATATCCAGTAAATAGAAGTAACTACAGTTAGCTGTACTAGTAATTAGCAAAATTCAAATCAAAGCAATCATGAGATTCAGTTTCTGGCCATCAGGAGGCACAAATTTAAAAGGTGGTAGGCAATGTTGTGAGAAAACAGTCATAGTGTGGATGAGAAAACAGTTTCACAAGAGCTATTAAAAACCTAAACGTGTCCCTACCCAGTTTGGCTCAGTGGATAGAGCATCCGCCTGAGGACTGAAGTGTCCCGGGTTTGATTCTGGTCAAGGGCACATGCCCAGGTTGTAGGCTTGATCCCTAATAGGGATCGTGCAAGAGGCAGCCGATCAATGATTCTCTCTCATCACTGATATTTCTCTCTCTCTCTCCCTCTCCCTTCCTCTCTGAAATCAATAAAAATATATTTTAAAAAAGAACCTACCTGTTAAGTAACTTTCCACTTCAAAAGCTGGGAAAATCCAATTCAAAGTGGATAAAACAGTAACAGTGTTTAGATCACATCATTGGAAGTCCAGAAGTGGTAGAGGATCAGGGTTGCTGATCTAATAGTTACA